CTGTCAGCGCTGGCACTTCGCTTCCCTCTACTTCACAGCCACCCTGTTAGGCACAAGTGTTGTACTCCAGTTAAAGGTGAAAAAAAGACTCACAGAGAGGCAAACATTTGTCTGAAGTTAGAAATAAAGAATGAGTGGCAGGATAGGAATTTGGACTCGGGTCTTTTGGGCTTGTGAACCCAAGCTTATAACTGCCGTAGGTATGCGATGCACGTTTCCACGGGCACACCCATATACATACAGATGTGCAGACACGTGCTCAGGGACATACATGTATATTTGCACATGGGCCAGTCATTAGCTGATCTTGGGGACGTGCACACTCCGCACAGAGGGCAGTGCAGACACATGCATATGTATGTGTCATGTGATCACATACGTGTGGTGCATAGGGTTAAACAATTCCAGCTCTGGCCCTTAACAAGGTTACCGAGCCTCTCTGTGCCTCAGTTTGCCTGTCTGTAAGATGGGGTGAATGATGATGATACTAAATTGGAGCTACATGCAAAAGTTTTAGCACGGTGCCTACGAGTACACAGGAAGTGGTCTGTATGCGTTAGCTGTTACTGTGATCTTACTCCGTAGATCTTTCAGCTCTGAATCTGTTTCTTTCTCTGTCACTGGGGAATAATAGTGGTGGGGCTGGTGTTTGAGGATTTAGGGAGAAAAGTTAGGGAGAAAAGTTCTTGAGGAGCTTAGCACCATCTCGCATGTCCCAGGTAACTTGATAAGTCTTGGCTATTGTTGCTGTTTATTGAGAATTTATCAGATGCCAGCCCCTGACCTACAGGCTTTGTACCAGTGTCTCATTCAGTTTCTACCACACCCAGCAGGTATTTACTCTCATCACCTTATTTCCTTAGATTTCTAAGAGACCCTCCTTTTTTACATGTCCTAACATTTATGAAATTGAGGAATTAGCAACTATTTTCAGGTGAGGAATTTGTAGTTTGGAGAAGTTCAATATAATTCCCCATGGTTATGTTTAAAGAGTCTTTTTTTTAGAAATATAAACTATGGATAAAAACAAAAATAGGGTCTGGCCCAGTGGCGCAGCGGTTAAGTTCGCACCTTCTGTTTTGGTGGCCCGGGGTTCGCTGGTTCGGATCCCAGGTGCTGACCTATGCACCACTTGTCAAGCCATGCTGTGGCAGGTGTCCCACATATAAAGTAGAGGAAGATGGGCACAGATGTCACCTCAGGGCCAGTCTTCCTCAGCAAAAAGAGGATTGGTGGCAGATGTTAGCTCAGGGTTAATCTTCCTCAGAAAAAAAGATAAAAAAATAAAGGCGTACCTAAGGTGACATGACTAGGGTGGGACGGGAGATGAGGTTGTAGCCCAGGTTCCCCCGCTGGGCCGTGATCATCGTCAGCTACACAGTGTGCACAGTGCACGCGTCCGGGCACAGCCGTTACGCTGGTCTTAACCACCCTCCCACCAGAGCGACACGACAGGCAAGCTGGGCTTCGAGGAATTCAAGTACTTGTGGAACAACATCAAAAAGTGGCAGGTGCGTGGCGACCTCAAACTCCAAGCACAAAGACACCTAAGCCATGGAGATGCCATGCCCCACGGCTCTCAGTTGAACCCTGACCTCCCTGTCCCCACAGGCCATCTACAAACAGTTTGACATGGACCGTTCGGGGACCATCGGCAGCAGTGAACTCCCAGGGGCCTTTCAGGCAGCAGGTATGGCTGGCAGGGCCTTGGTGGGGCTGGGGTGGGACTCACAAGGCAGCCGCCGCTGAGCTGGTCTGAGCCTGAATCCTGGGAGCGGGGCTGAGAGTGGGTCGGGCCATGTGGCTCCCACACCTGAGAGACGGAACCATTCTCAGGGTTCCACCTGAACGAGCATCTCTACAACATGATCATCCGACGCTACTCGGATGAAGGAGGGAACATGGATTTTGACAACTTCATCAGCTGCCTGGTCAGGATGGACGCCATGTTCCGTGAGTGATACCCCAGCTCTCTTCTGGGCGGGATTGCTTCAAGCTCCATCGGCCAAGGTCTCCTCTGAGCCTGGCCCTGAGGTGGGCCATGCTAGGGGCACGGCAGGGACCAAAACCGCCCAGTTCCTGCCCTCATATTGCTCACAGTCCAGTGGAGGAGAGGCAACTCACGAGACGGGGACAGCTCAGAATGGTTATGCTGGGACTGGGGATGCCTGGGCAGAGCGATGGGGCCGTGGGGGGAAGCTCAGGGCACAGTGGGCTTCGTGTGACTGGGGAAGCTCCAATGGCTATTCCAACTTTACGAGGCACCTGATGTGGCCTGCGGGCTTCCTGGAGGAGGGCACCTGTGAGTTGAGACCTGAGGGATGAGGAGTGAGCCCAGTGAGAGGCTGGGGATGGGTGTTGCGGTGGGAACAGCCTGTGCGAAGCCTAGAAAGGAAAGAGAGGATGGTGCTTTGGGTGTTTTCAGTTGGACTCAGTTCAGAGTGCCGAAGAGGGGGGAGGATGGGGAGACAAGGCTAGGAGGGGTCCGTAGGGGCTGGCTTGTGAGGGCCCTTAGGAACATTAATGCACTGAAGTCTAAGACCGCCCTGAGAGGTGGGAATTCTTGCCCCCATTTTATGGAGGAGAAACCGAGAGTTCAAGGAGGCGAAATGGCTTGCTCACAGTCGCTCAGCTGGGAAGTTGCAAAGCCAGAGTTTGGATTCCGATCTGAGAGAGCTGAGTGAAACGAGACCAGGAGCAATGGGCATGGTCAGGCTAAGCAGGGCTGTGAATGCCAAGTTCAGGCTGTTCAGACACTACTGGGGCAATGGAGAGCCACAGCAGGTTCTAGTCAGGGGAGGGACAGGGTCAGGTTTGGCTTTAGGAAGACCCTGGCCTCCTGAGAGCCCAGGGAGGACAGTGCATTAAGAGCACGGGTAGAGGAAAAGGGGCAGGTATGTCAGAGACGGGAAGGGAAGGTGGGAGTGGACAACAGGGCAGATGATGCCAAGTCACGTATGAGAAGAGAAGGCCCAAGAAATGGCCATTGGATTTCCCAGCAAGAGGGCCAGTGGTCACTGTAGCACGTGCAGGGTCCGGGCCTCGTGTGTGTGGACCCATGAGGGTGGGAACTGAGTGCTGAGAGAGGAAGCGGACCTTGGGCCCCTGTTTGCCTCAGTCTGCCTGTGGGTGGGGCACCTGGAGTCGCCTTTCAGAGCAGGCAGGGGGCCCGCAGAGCCTCCCTGCAGGAGCCTGGCTAGGCTGGGACTGGAGGGCCCAGGGGAGTGGGAGGCAGGCCATGAGCAGAGGGTGACCAGGGCGCAGGTCGGTATTCGGAGGCCGTCGTTGAGGTGGGGACAGCCTGGCTTTCAGTCCCGGTCCTCTCCTTTCTCGCTGTGTGACCCGGGGCACATCACTTCACTTCTAAAATGACAGATCTCACAGAACAGCATTAAATGAGTTCGCATGTGGCAAGCACTTTACACAGTGCTGGGCACAGAGCAGGTACTCAGTAAAGGACTAGCTGTTGGTACTGCCGTTCTATATGTTAGTATATTTTTATCCTAAAAGCCAAATCCCCCCAACCCTCCCCTTTTCCTCTAGGTGCCTTCAAATCTCTTGACAAAGATGGCAGTGGACAAATCCAGGTGAACATCCAGGAGGTAAGAACCCCCATCCTGGCATGTGGGTGCCTAGCAGGGGAGCCGCCCCTCAGCCCTGTGTACCTGCCCTGAGCTTGGGCTCCCTCCCCCATCTTCCCAGCAGCCCCCAGGGGAGGGCCGAAAGGGCACCTGCTCTCCTCAGTTCCCCACTCCTCACTCTCTGCCTTCCTGTCCCCAGTGGCTGCAGCTGACTATGTATTCCTGAAGGGGAACCCCGGACCTGCCCCCCGTCGCCTCGCTGGAGGAGTCGCCTTGGACTCTGCAGTCTCTCCCAGGGCTCATCCTGTCTGCGGTCTTGTCTTCATAGGTCCTGCGCACCCACAGGCCTTTCCCTTCTCCCAGCCCTTGGCACCTGGCTTCTCCGTCAAGAGCCAGGGTCCAACCTGCGCCAACCTGCCCTGCCCCAAGTTACCCCTGGCTCTGAGACACCTAACACGCCCTGCCCCGAGAGTCACCCTACCCCAGCACACCCATCTCACACCCGCTCCATCAGCCCTCTCAGGCACGTGTGTCAAGCCAGCACTTGTGTTGCTTCCATGCCCCAAGGACCCTTCTCTCAGTCCTGAGACTGTCACTCCAGTCCCTACATGCCCTGGCACACCCATTCATGGTTACCACCCAGGCAGCCAACTCCAGGCCGTAACAGGCCCGCACACCCCAGTGCCTTTGTATTCTGCTCCAGCCTGCCAGGCCCAGGAGGAAATAAATGCACCCCAGTTGCTGCTGTCTCAGATCTGCTTCCTGTTCTGAGAGTTGAGGGGTGGCTCAGGCTCTGTCTGGGGCAGAGGGAGTCAGGGTCCTGGGGGGTGGAGGGGTGGGGGCGCTTTTATCAGTCTCCACAACTACCCCCAGGGCTGGATCTGCATGTCTCCTAGTCCTTTTCTTGTCTTTTCTTCTCATACTGGATCCCAGTTGAGCTGTAGCCTGGTTCTCGCTGAGACCCCTCACAGATCCTGTGGAGGGTGACTGGGACCCAGAAGCCCAGGCGATCTCTGCTTCTGCTGCAGGACCCAGGCTGGTGGAAGGTCTCAGTGCCACCCCTGGCTCTGTTCCCCAAGGCCATGTTTGCCCCCCTCTTGGCTTGTGGGCTCCAGTGAGTCTGTCCTCCTGTGCCTCTCAGCATCTTCCTTCCCACCCTCGGGCCTCTGCAAGGAGAGGGGCTGCCATCCTATGCTATGGAGCCCCTGTCCCATTCAAAGTTACCGCCCGGGGGGGCCATTTGGGGCTCCCCAACCCCTCTTGGAGGGCTGAGAAGCAGTGACATAGGAATAGCCCTGGCCTAGCATGTGGGACTCAGGGCCTGGGGTGATGGGCTGTCCATGGGGCAGAGATCCCTTGTTAATAGGAAGACAGGCTGGGGGGTGGGCATGGACACACACAGGTGCACACACACAGAGGTCAGAGCTGGGCCGGGTTCCCCAAGAAGCAACACGTTTATTGATACTGTTTCAGGTCCTGTAGGCTTCTTGGTCTCACTTCTTGTGGGGGAAGGAGGCCCAGCCAAGGCAGTACAGGCTGTAGGCGGTGCCTAGGAGGGAGAGTGGGGGATACAGAATGACACTAGCCTCCCTGAACCCCATCTGGGGCTTTTAAACCCCTCTGCGGACTCCCCGGTCACCAGCCTGGATCCCAGCCCCAGTTCAGGCTCCAGCTCCTTCCCCAAACTGCACTTCAGGTGAGGGGAGATCTCCAGGCCTTGATCCAGACCAGGCTTCCAGCTTTCTCCCCACCTCCCGCCTGGGTCCCAGATCCCATCCTGGGACGGGGGGGCCTAGGCCCTAGGGTGCTCCCTCCCTATATGCCTGCCCGGACTCCAGTACCATCCCCAAACCTGGCCCCTCAGAACCCAAGCCCCTCCCTAAGCGCCAGCCCAGATGCCGGGCAGGCCTCTCTCCAAACCGCAGCCCGGAACCGCCCCTGCACTCCAGCTCGACCCGCCCGCCTCGGGCTCAGGCCGCGCCGGTCCCGCACTCACCGCCCAGACACAGCCCCATGGTCACTCGGTACAGGATGTTATCGGTTGCCCCGCCCTTCAAGTGCACCGGGAGGTCATTGTCCGCCTGCAGTTGGGGTCGTCGGATGAGAAGCGGGCGCCGGCTGCTCCGTAGACTGCCCCCGCCTCCCCCGCCTCCCCCGCCTCGGCCCGGGTCTTCCCCTCGCCCCGCCCCGCCCCGCCCACCTGGAAGAGTTTCTGTTTCTCGGCCACTCGGTTCTCGAAGCGGTTCCGGGCGGTTGAGCTGAAGGAGCGGACCAGCGCCGGGGAGACCTGGAGGGAGCGGGTCGGGGGGATTGGAGGCAGCCAGAGAGGCGTCCCGAAGTGGGTCCTGCTGGGGGCGGGGGGCAGGGGGCGGGCTCTCTGGGTCCCGGACGTGGGGACGGTCCTATTCCCGGGCAGTGAGTGTCTCAAAGCCAAGATCCGAACTGCCAGCACGAGTGGGGGAGGGGATCCTGTCAAGAAAGGCCCAGAAGAAGGGGACTCGCGCCTAGAGGGTCTAGCATGGAGGTTGCCAGGCAGTTTAGAGGGTCCTGGAAGGGGAGCGGAGCCAGAAGGGAGATTCATGATCTGCGGGTCCAAGTCCCGAGATGCTTTTGCGGGGAGGGTTTCCTGGATTAATGGGAGAAGCTCAGGTCCCAGTCAAGTCGGGACTGGACCCGGGGTACCTAATGGGGTTTACGGGCTGCCAAAGAAGTCCGGGGGACGGGAAGGGGTGTAAAGTTGCCAGTTCCTAGGTCCCAAGGTGTTAAGGGAGCCCAGGATGAAGGGAAGAAGTTCAAACCCGGGGCTTTGGGCCATGTTAGGTGTCCCCGGCGGTCTCAGAAACTATTGCATTGGGAGGTGAGGGTTCGGGGTCCCAGGCCGTTTGACAGGGAGTCCCGAATCCTTCAGGGGGCTCGCGTTCCAAGGCCCCAGATTCCGAGACGTTTAGGGAGTCTCGTATTGCGGCGAGGGCTTCCAAATTGGGGGCCCCGGCCCGACCCATGGGGACCCTCACCCGCAGGGCCCTCATTCTGCGTCCTCCTCTTCGGCCGGAGTCACCTCCCCTCTCCACCCAAGGACATACAGTGTCCTCCCCTCCCGGGGACTCCCAGGCCACGCCCCCGGCGCGCCGCACCGCAGCCCTGTCCCCGGCCCGGGGTGGGAAGCCGGACAAATCCGGCGACCAGATTCGGATTCGTCCAATAGGCTCCCGGAGAAGATGCTCCGACCCCTCCCCCGCGCCAAACGGTTGGAGCACCCATGTGCTAATCCTCGGAATTTCTCTTGGTCCGAGTGGAGAGGAAAGCGGTACCAGGGGATACATTTTTGGTTTGTTTCTGCGGAGATAGCCTCGTGGGACAAGTGCAACTCCTCCCCCACCACGGTGCCCCGTACCTGTCCCTACCCGCGTGGGTATTGGAGAACGCGAGAGAGCTCAGACAAACGGGGGTTCGAACTCCTTGTTCTATCTACATCGACTGATTGCACCTCTGAGCCTTAGTTCCCGTATCTGTAACCTGGGGGTAAGTGAGGATCTTCCTCAAAGGTTTGCTGAGAGCATTTAATGAGCTCATCTGAGAACATAACTGAGGTAATAACTATGCACGGTTATTGCATATAACTGCTGTACAGTTATTGCATAACCGTGCCAATAACTATTGCACAGAAACAAATAAGAGCCGTTATTTTTACTATTTTCTAGCGGTAAGATTCATATATCAAATATTTTTATATTGTCGATGCAAATAAGCCCTAATCAATCTATAAATCAAAATTGGGGTGAGTTTATTATAAGCCAAGTTTGAAGACTATAGCGTGGGGCCTTCCTTCCATGAAGACTCAGTCATGGGGACGGCCCCAAATTCTGTCTGATTCTAATGTGCAGCCAGGGTTGAGCACAGTTGCCCTGATGGTTTTAGCCACTGGTGATGATCCTAGTCTTAAAGGTTTTAGAACAGTTTTTTTTTCTTTTCTTCTTCTCCCCAGAGCCCCCCAGTACATAGTTGTGTATTCTAGTTGTAGGTCCTTCCACTTCTACCGTGTGGGACCCCGGCTCAGCATGGCTTGATGAGTGGTGCTAGGGCTGCACCCAGGACCCAAACCAGGTCCTGGCGAAACCCTGGGCCACAGAAGCAGAGCACGCAAACTTAACCACTTGGCCACGGGGCAGCCCCTAAAAGGTTTTAACAATCTCCTTTAAAAGGGGCTCTTATAACAATTAAATTCCCTTAATAGTTTCAAACTATGCTTGTAAATTTCATATGTTAGATTTTTCCGTTTAAGAGCCACAGTAGGCTAAGTTAACAGAGACATCTTTCCTCAGTACTTGACATAAGTTTTATGAATCTGTTAACCTGAAAATAAGGAGCCAAAATGACAGGCAGAGAGGCATTTCGGATCAAAGAATTGCAACTGGGGAGCCCAGATCCAGGTAGCAACCCAAATAGTGTCCCACTAGGGAGCAAAAGTCAGGGGCTTTTATAGACAAAGAAGAGAGGCTTGCGTTATGGAGAATGTTCATTGGGGTTAGCTCAGAAAGCTAATTTTGGCTAAACGTAACTGCTTGCTCTGGCTGCTAGAGGAAGGCAAACGCCTGTCACTGTGAGAAGCTGCAGGATTCTTGCAGCATTACTCAGTTCAAAAGGTCATGTTCTCCTGGATGAGGACGTGCATGAGACCCATTTTCTTAATGGCTTCCTGGCTCCCCCCCTTTTTTTTTTGGGTGAGGAAGACTGTAGCTAACATCTGTGCCAACCTTCCTCTATATTTTATGTGGGGCCCTGCCACAGCATGGCTTGATGACCGGTGCTAGGTCCACACCCAGGATCCAAACCGGTGAACCCCAGGCTGCTAAGCAAAGTGCTCAAACTTAACCACTACACCACCTGGCCAGCCCTCTGGCTCCATTTTAATGCCCTTAGACATAAATGACTTCATTTTGTTTCACATTTCACATATCTAAAATTACAAATTTATAAGTGTGGCAAAACTTATATTTGATTAATTGTTCCAATAGTGTACATAAACAGTAATATTTCAGCTAAAAGTAAGTCTTAGTCATTAACTGAATTCCACATTTTAAATCAAAATTACAAGATTGACCTGTTATTTGAACAGGCCAATTTATCTTAGATATTATGAATATTTAAAATATTAAATATTCAGATTCCCCAATACAAAAAAAGTTAATACCATGGTTTTGACCATCTGAAGTATTTCTTTACTTAATTTTACTTAATATTTCTATACTTAAATTTTATTAATCAATTCAAAAATTTCCCAAGTTGAGACAATGCTTACCCACATTTTAAGATGATCAATACCATACTAGCAATTGTCATCAGAGAAATGCAAATTAAAACCACAATGAAACATCACTACATGCCTAATAGATGGCCAAAATTAAAAAGACTGACCATACCAAATGCTGGTGAGGATGTGGGACAATTGTAACTCTCATACATTGCTGGTGAAAACGCAGAATGGTACACCCGCTGTGGCAGTCTGGGACCAATCAGGAAATAGAAATCCCTCACTAGGTTAAACAGGGAAGTTCAATATAAAGAATGATTAACTGTGATAAAGGAGTAACTCTATATGGTACCTTACGTTGAAAGAAGGTACCCAAGGAAGGAGAAATGTGCAGGAGTTTAGACCTTGTTGGAGAAGATGTGGTTTTGTCACTGACAAATTGCCCAGAGAAACTCAAGAGAAGTTTTGGAAGCATTTAGCTGTTTTTCCAAATTGTTTTTTCTTTTTTGTTATGTTAAGAGATGCAATTACCAACCACCCTGAACGTGTCCAAACCCCAGGGCAAGAGCAACACCGTGCACAGATGGGCCGAAAAGTGCCTAAGAGTAAACCTTATTACCGTAACACGTCATGTACGTGGAAGCATGTTTTCCGACTGAGCCTGTGCAAAGGAATGCCCACCTCTCCCTTTTGAATAGTCATTCCCCATCCGAAATAAATGCCCCCGCTGTCCCGTGCTCAGGGAGCCATGGCTTTGGGAAATAATTTCCCTGTGGGCTCGTTATTTACAGCAAATAAACTTTACTTTGTGTGACAAGTCCTTCTGGTGGAGGCTCTGATTTTCAGGTCACCAAGAGGCGGACCCACTTTGGTTTTGTAACAGTTTGGTCACTGGGTAGCAGTGAAGTTCGCTGGTTTAGCCAGGCTGGATGTGGCCTGGAGTTGCTGGACGGATAGGCAAGCTCCTGGAGAGCAGGCAGGGGAGCAGCAATCGGCAGCCAGGGGAGTGGGTCTGCGGTGGGAGTCCGGTGCTGGCAGGGACAGAGGCCTGCAGGGCACGACGGTCATGGGGGTGGGGCACCATCTGCAGGAGGAATGACTGCATGGTGTATGACCCTCTGGACCACAGGAGGCTAGGGGCAGGCCACAGAGGGCTTGCCAAGGGAATTCAGCAGGTGGCTGCATGCAGGATGTGAGGGGGCTTCTGAGGGAGTCTGGGTAGGCAGCTGTGGGAAGATGATTGCCAGGCTGAGGTTGGGGCAGGTTCTGTGGGAAGTCCTCACACCCATGCCACCGACCAACCCGGACTGTGCCCCTGCCTGCGCTGGAAATTGCCGGAAGCCTCTGCGTCCTGCAGTGTCCCTCCAGTACCCTCTACTGAGAAAGCTTGACAGTGTGCTGTCTTTAGAGGAGAAAAGCTTGGGAATTCTGTGGTTTATCACAGAGCATGTATTGAAGGGTGCGTTCAGAGCTGAGAGGTAGCAGATAGCTGACACCGTCTACCTCTTTGGCTACTCAGCTTTCATACGCACCCGTCTACACACGCTTGAACTCCCTAACAACAATGAAACAACTCTGTATGTTTCCCTATCCTTCTTACCCGTGAAGAAGTTTTACTGTGCCCCAGAGAAGACCCACGGTCCCAGCAGTCACACCCCACCACAGGCTGTATTAATGACGCCTCAGATTCAGTCACAGTCTCACTGACTATTCTGTACCTACAGACTGCATTGTAAAGTTAGCCTCTGATAACAACTCCTGTGTAAAATTGAAAAAAAAAGAGGAGAAAGAAGAGAATGGTTAGTTTATACATAGAAACACCTGCATGTAACAAGTAGAGGAAATAAGTCCCCCTTTCTGTAATTGGTCAGGAGGTCATAAGTGATGTCTGCTGCTTCCTTTTTTTTTTTTTTTAATACTTTGTCTTTTATTTTATTTCTTTTTGTTTGTTGAGGAAGATTAGTCCTGAGCTAACATCTATGGCCAATCCTCCTCTTTTTGCTGAAGAAGGCTGGCCCTGAGCCGACATCCATGCCCATCTTCCTCTACTTTATATGTGGGATGCCTACTACAGCATGGCTTTTGCCAAGCAGTGCCATGGCTGCACCCAGGATCCGAACTGGCAAACCCCGGGCCGCTGAAGCAGAACGTGCATACTTAACCGATGCGCCACCGGGCTGGCGCCAACTGCTGCTTCCTTCTTTAATTACCCCTTCCATAGTTCCAGTGGCCTCAGCCACAACCTCAACTGCTCTGGGTTCTTTACCTGGTAGAGTTGACCCAAACCTTCATTCCCAAAGGATTCGAGCCCTCAAGCATCCTGCTTTTTTTCAATTGTAGTTTTACACTAACCTTTACTATTGGGCATGGAAGTACCCAGAGAGTCCTCTGGGTTCCAAAGTCTTCCTTGCCTTCGTCGTGTAGAAGTAACCCAATTTCTCCTGGGTAATTTGGATCAGTTGCTTCAGCCAATAGATTAGCCCGCCCCCCTTTTTGCTTGTTGGTTCAGTGGAATAAGGTCCTAAAATGTCCGGATGGGAGTCTTATCTCTCAACTCAGGGGATCCGTTGTCCCCCTCAGTGGAAGCATTCCTCCCCATGGGGACTAAGATCTCTACAGCCTCCAACCTCAAAGTTGTCGAGGAGAGAAGCAAGCATTCTTCAAGTGAGTTATTGGGTATAATAGTGAGGGAGCCATTCCCACTCTTCCTCCTTTATTCCCAGACCTGTAAATTCTGGCTCTGGGGGAAACAGTACCATACGGTGGTCTCTGGTTCAAAGCATAGAGCGCATCCTGTAAGACAGAATCCCATCCTTTCCGGGGGTCGTTTCCCAGTTGGCGCTGTAACTGAGTGATTAGGAAGGCATTCTGCCTTTCACTTAGGCCCGTTGCTTCTGGGCGATGGGCTATATGGTAAG